ATTAAGCTAGAAAATAGAAAACTTAGCTCAATCCCGAAAATAAAGTACATTAATTTATCACAGATAAGATAACACTTATCTTATCTGTGATGTTGCAAAATTGTAATTTTCAGGATAGCAAAATTTGAAGTTTTAATTTATCTATGTAGATGACTAGGTTCTTTTTTACATCGCTTTATTCCCGTTAATTATGATAGCTAAACATTGTACCCCATACCTCTACGCAAAGCTAAAAATATACAACAGAGACAAGGGGCTATTTCTAGTTCATAAAAAATTGACATGATATCTTCATTTCAAGGATTTAGATATTATGGTATAACTATTTGTGTTACGTATACAATAGAGTTGTTCCACAAATTGAATATTTTTTAGATTTTAGATTGTTTAGAAATGTATTGAAGAATTATCTTTATAGTTGTATTAAGATAATCCATAATGAATATCTCATAATGTAATAAAATTTTTGTATTACAATAAATAACGTGTGTATAAATATTGTCAAAGATAAAACTGTTTACTGAATAACAAGTACCATTAATTTAACTAATGTTTTATGATTAAAAATTTGAGTCAAGTTGATGGTATTGGACGGAATTCAAAGTAAAAAACTGATGAACTAAATTTTATTAACGCAGATATGATCTCTGACCTAATATTCATGTTGTGCAACCGAAAAACTGAAGTTTAATGTAAATTTGTTTGAGTTCTATAAACCATAACATGACATTTATCATTAATTGTCATTAATAGCTATTAATAAAATTATTAGTTAGATAGTGTATTTCTTTTAAAAATATTAAATTAAAATTAATAGAATAATTATTTTTCTGTATAAAATGAATAATATTTTTGATAAACATAAGGTTTTTTTTTAATTGAAAAAATATTAGTTTAATATATAGCAAAAAAAATTACAAATATTTGTATGAAGTACATACTTAGTACATTTTACATACTATATTTTATATAAAAATTATGGAAAATAAAGTTTTTGATTACTAAATTGAGCTGTAAAATATTAAACGATTAGACAAGTGAAATTTAACCAGTAAAAACAGTTCTAAACAACATAAACATTAATATTTTTGTTTTTTAATTTCATTTAAAGTTAGAATATTGAATTTTATTCAAAAATGTAATTCCTTTATCTTATTTAATACTTTAGAATACTGTAAGATTATTAAAATTAAAATTATTTTATATTTTATAAATTATCTAAGCTTTTACAATATGCAATTGTTAATACTACTATGCGATAAAATTGAAGAGCAAATCCTTTTGACTCTATTTATATTTGCTCTATATGTCAAGATTAAGACTATTATTTTTTTTTATCTTTAAACAACTCATCAAAATTTTATTTCAACATATTAAATAGTTTTATAGAAATTGTCAACATATTTCCAATAGCATTTTTCATTAGCTCATTATACTTTCGTTAAAAGTCTAAAATAAAATAAACTACTGCCCATAAATAAAAGAAATTGAAATATACATTATACTTAATAGCCAAATAAAAATACATGAAGTAATCATTTTAAATATATCATTATATATCATTTTGATCTATAAAGACGCAATAAATCTTAAGACAGGGTCATAGTATTAATGCGGCAAAATATACTTTAGGTGGATTTACAATATGTGACCACTTATGAATCATATACGATTGAGTGCACTATCAGTAAATATTAAACTAATACAGATGTAATAAATTATAACTTTGATTTGAATTGATAATAATTATTAGAGTTTGGGACTTCATGCATTTATAAAGTTTATTTTAGTCATCTCGAGTACATCATAAATGTATACATTTTTTTTCTTAATCCTAATCAATGTATCTTAATTAGGATTTTAGTTTTCGGTGATGTGAGGAAATAATTCCCCCTTACCCTAATAATAATCATAATTTAGTTCTAAATACGATCTATTTACAAGTTGAAATCTAATTTTATGATTCTAAAATAGAATAAAAAGTTTAATTGTTCAATAATAATATCATTAAAATTATATAATTGATTAATCTATAAATACAATTACCAACATAAAATTAGTACATTTTATTTATAATTTATATTAAATTATTATTAACATCATAATTAAAGATGGTGGGGGATTTACAGGAAGGAAGACTTCTAGAGGGTCTGGACCCCTTCCCAGATATCAATACTTATACAAAGTATAATATGTTAAACTTAAATAAGTATTTCAAGAAAATTTTATTCTTTACGACTCCAAAAAAAATATTCAAAATTAAAGATAAATACAAAACATAAAAACTTATTATAAAGACAATAATTTCAATATGCATATTACATATTGCAAAATTATCAAATTAAATATTGGTATGTTAAGTCAAAGAAATTATTACGCGACTAATTAGTTTATAATCCCTACAATATGTTTTAATAAACTTAATATGTAATATCACTACAGAAAAAATAATCAAACAATCACATAAAATTTATTTTAAAAATCATTAAAAAAATGATCATAAAATCGTAAATATTTACAATAATCATTTTAATTTTAAATTAAAACGGGTGATAACTTTTTTTAAAATCATCATATTTTTAAATTCACAGACAATTCATTCTCAAACAGAAATTACATGTTATCCAGCCAAACCTGTACGGCAAGTAATTTATTGCTATAAAATTACATTTAGAAAACGTAAAATATACTTGCAAACTCTCTCCTTGATTCTTAAACAATAAACTAGATCTACTTCATCAATAATCGCTATAAAGAATTAAAAATTATTTATAACGGCAGTGTTTTGATTTTGTTTCAAACTTATAAATTAGTACAATTGGACTCCTTTTGTATACCTTTGTTATTCTGAAGGAGTTATATTTTCTAAGTTTAATAATTTAGTAAAAAAGTTTAACCAAGAATAATACTACATTCAACCTATATTTAAAATCATTTAATTTAATATGATTTAATTAAAATTATTAATAAAGACAAAAAACTGTTCAACCTTCATTAAACGTCTCAATAACAACTAATTAGGATCATCTTGTGATGAGAACTGAGGTAAATCCCTTAATCATCATAACCTCACTAACACTAAAGGTGTTATCTCCTGAATCCTCCATTGGTTAGAATTCTATTATAAAACTCTGGATAGTACCAATACGAAGATTGTGTTCGACATATACGTACCCATAGTATTAGTAGTAAGCAATTACTCAGCTTCAGTTTTGATTCAAGTCCTTTTAGAGTTCAATATCTTTCTCGATATACGCATAGCACACCTGTCAAAAAGAAAATACTTCTAATACAATTCAAATTAACAAAAATAAAAAAATATAGGAGCCAAAATTCCAATCCGGTCAGAAGGTCACTCTTTAACTATGGCTAGTGGCAGAATCTCTATTATTAAATAAAAAACAATAATATACCAATCAGTGCAGCAAATATTAAACTGAGAGCCCGTATGCCCTTACACGTCCAATTTTTGCGGCACTGATACTATTATATAATTATTGAATTACTCATTTCGAATAGTTATACTAATAATCATTACTGATTACATCATTCTATTAGCTGTGATAAAATTTATATTTTTTATTCTTCTTATTAATAATTTTGAATATGTTTTCAATTTTAAAAATTGAATTTTTAATTCATAACAAAAATATCAGATTACACATTCAAACAGTAAAAGACCAATTATTATGCTATGAATTAGTTTTGATTTAATATATTACTTAATTTTAACCATAATTATATTGATTTAACATTAAATCGTAAATCATAAGAACTAATGAATTCTTATAGTTTTCTTTTACAAGTAGTATTCAAGGAGACGAAGTAGTGGAAGGGTTTATAAATATAGTTGTACAATATTAACTGTATACTTTTAAATATGTTAATAATTATGTAATAATTTTTGTAAACATTTTACAATCCATGGTAACTACAAGGAGAACATTTCTATATATATTTTCTATGTCGCTTTTGACGTTAGCCTAGAGCGAACAAAAATCGAGAATGAACTGCGACACTAAAATTATTAAGCATACGTTTTAACTATTTTATAATTGAATATAATTCACATTTATAATTTTTTACATTAGGATATATAGAAATTATGACACTATCCAAAGGATTTATATTTATTTTTTAGCCGCAGGACATTCATTCTCTCAAAACTGAAAATAACAATCACATAACATTATTGTTGTTTCTTTTGTTTAAATTATCATAACTGTATTTAAATATTATAATCACAGTTAAAACAATTATTATCAAATGTAAGTAATACTGTCGTACGTAATTATTTAGAAACTGAAACTATGCCATTTATATAAAAATCATATTGCTATTTTATTTTGAATTGAATTTTAATATTTTTTAATTAAGCAAACTTTCCTCTAACTTAACAAATGGCCTTAAAGGTCATTGGCTTGGTTTATTATTTACAAAAACTAGGGCTTTGTAAATGATTTACCAAATCCCTTTTATTTTTAATGGTTACGAAAAACATTGATTATTAAATTCATAGACACTAAAAATATGATTTAACAATAAATTTTGGCTATGAAAAAAGTACTGAAATAAATATGACTACCAATGTATATACCAAATGGCGCCTGTTATTACATTTGTATTCCTTAATTTTGGATAAATTATTATTTTAACAATTGAAAATAAATAAAAAAGTAGTCAATTACATGTTCATTAATAAAAGTGTAATAAAAATTTACTGTCATAACATATATTATTACAGCATATACTTATACAACCACATATAATATTGTACTATATTTATAGATATACAACTGGGCTAAATAAATAAATATATAAATACCTACGTAGTCATAGTAAAATGAATAATTATTAATTTTACAATGCAAAATAGTAAATAATAAAACGTAAACGAGAATCAATCGTTTGTATACTTAATGCTTATATAATTCTATTTGTTACAGATTCGACTTTCAACAGCTGTTCAACAGTAAGCCTGCAAAACTGCGATCCAACTGTGGATTTCCACACTGTTATCTGTAGCAAAACGTGTTCCTTATCAAATCTGACCGTTTGTAGCTAGTACTAGCAACAGCATTACAAAACTGGATTGTAAGGCTGAAAGATCACAATTATTGATACAATAACATAGTCGATCGTTTTCGCTAATCAGTACTATCCGTGTACATAAAACGTGTGTGTGGTTTTCTTTTTTTCGGCTACATACATTTTCGTACGTGTTATTTTATTTAAATATTAATTTTTAAATAAAAAAAATTAATTAATTTTTATAGCATAATTAAGTAACTCTACATATTTAGTAAAACGACATTTAATTGCCTAGTCTGGATTTCTGTGAAAAACATCAGTCGTATATACGCACAAATATTTTGAATTAGTTAAAATGACTGAATCATATTTTGGTGGAATAGAAGGGTAAGTTTTTATTTTTTTTATGCTACTTGTTTAATTATTATTTTTTAATATTGTTATTTTCTTTCGTGTTAGTGGAGCTTCAGTATCAACGGTAGTAATAACTAATGGTAAAGGTGAAATTTTAGCAGAGATATTAGGGGAAGGAACAAATCCATGGGTACGATAATTTCATTTTATATTATATAATATATATATATTTGTTCTAATATTACTTACTAAATAATAGTACAGAGTCTTTATAAGATATTCAATTAAAACAGTTATTTTATGAAATTTAATTTATTAATAATTTTTGTATATATATATTTTTTTCATAATTTTTTTTAACTAAAAATTATTGTGTACTCTATCATTGGATAAAATTTTATACACTTTATTTAAAAGTATGAATCATAAGGTAGAGTATATTACCAAGATTAAGTTAATTCAATTGATCATCATTGCTGTATGTTAAAAAATGATCTTTCATGTTGAATTATCCATATTAAAAGAATTTATCTGCATTAATAATAACATTAAATGGTTAATTTTTTTAATTTTTAATGATTCTTAACTAATCTGTTGCAATAAATTAAATTTTGATGAAAATTACAAAAAAAAATGTGAATAATTCAAAATAAAAATATTTTGTTCTTCAAACTGATTCTCTTTAAGTAATAATAATATAATTTTATAATTATACTTTTATAATACATGGAAAATACAATTTTTAAAATTTAATTGATTCTAAGAAAGTTAGTAAGCCTAAATTTTATTTTTGCTTGGAAACTTGTTTATAATATAAAAATAATTTTATCAATCAAATTCCCTTAATAGCAAACTTATTTATTTAATAAAAACTAAATTTAATAAAATATATTTTACAGATTTTAGGAGTAAAACCTTGTTTATCTCGAGTGAATGAATTGATTAAAGAAGCCCTCAAGAAAGCCGATCTCAACAATAATGTTAAGCTAAATGGATTAGTAAGTATACAATACCCAGAGATAATAAACAACAAATACAATTTTTTAAAATCTATTTTATATCATATTTTTATACATTTTTTATTATTTAGGGTCTTAGTTTAAGTGGATGTGAAGATGCAATGTTTTGTAAAAAAATTGAAACCCAATTAAAAGAATTTTTCCCAGAACTCACTGATGAAGTTATTGTTGTAAGTGATACATTAGCTCCAATTGCTCTTGCTTGCCAGTCAGGTAAGTATACTATAAAATTAAATTAAAAACAATTAATTTTATTGTACATTTTAATATTATATTAAAAATTTTTTAAAGGAGGAGCTGTTATAATATCTGGAACAGGTTCTAACAGTCTTTTAGTAAATCCTGATTTTACTACAAAACGATGTGGAGGTTATGGCCATTTACTTGGTGATGAAGGAAGTGGTGAATACTTTTTAAATTATTTATTTATAATAACCAAATTTAAATAATTACTTATCATATTCAAAATAACTATTATTTTTCTATGTGTATTTATCTTTCTTTGTTTTTATCTTAGCTTATTGGATTGCACATAAAAGTATAAAAACATGTGTGGACCATATAGAAGAGTTAAATTGTGCACCAAATAATTATTCAATTGATAATGTATGGGAAGCTATAAAAAATCATCTGAAAATTAATACTGAGTATGTAATANATTGATAATGTATGGGAAGCTATAAAAAATCATCTGAAAATTAATACTGAGTATGTAATAGTTTTAAAAACAAATCTAGATAAATAAGAGTTCATACTTTCTAGTTATTATTTTATATAACTTCAGAAAAAATGCTATAAAGTTACAGTATTTAGTTATTTTTCTAATAATTTGATAATCTTGTAACAAATAAATTAACCAAAGTATAAAAGTTTACCAATTGTTTATACAATTGTAAGTATTTTTTAAAGTTTTTTTTGTTTTATAAATCTACTTTTTGTGTTAAATTCGTTTGATAAAAAAACATTGTGCCATTGATATAAATACAATACTATTTTTTTGTTTTTCTGTTATTTTTTTTTAAAAGTGATAAATGCAAAAACTTGGAGAAAACTAAATAAAATTATAGAATTGAACTGGAATTAGGTTAAAAACTAAAAGACACTAATTATAAATCGACTCTTTTTAGACAAACTGTGTTTTTCTTGTTTCGAAAGAGTTTTTGTGACTTATCCCTTTATTTTTTGTTCTATTTTTATTGATTACCGACATTAAATAATTAATTATTAGTTATTAACTTGAAAATTTTAGAGTCGACTTATTTAGTATTTTCTATGGAGAAGACATGGAAAAATCACGAATTGCTAGTCTGTGCAAAAAAATTGCTGATCTAGCATTAAAAAGAGATGAATTGAGTTGTTGGATTTTTAAAGAAGCAGGGAAAGAATTAGCAAAATTAGTTCAAACCCTATATCCAAGTGCTCACAAAGTAATTTTATTTTATAATACACCAATTTTTATTGTAATTATATTACAATGTAAAATACCTATTATATAATAATAGGTTTTACACAAAGAAAATGGAGGATTACATGTAGTATGTGTTGGTTCTGTGTGGAAAAGTTGGGATTTGCTCAAAAATGGTTTTATTGAACAACTTCAAAATAATTCAAGTAAAGGATTTGTACAAGAATTTACTCTGGTTGTATTAGATAAAACTGTAGCTCTTGGTGGAGTATACCTAATCGCAAAGAAATTAAACTATGAATTTCCTTTTGATTATGAACACAATTACAAAATATTGTTCCATTATGTGCATAATCCAAATGTTTCACAATAATGTTCAATAATAATTTTAATTATTTCAGTTTTAATACTCAGTATATGATAGTTAATTTTTTTTTATTACTGTTAATAAATTATTGATGATAAAAACTCAATATTGTAGAAATAAAAGTAAAAATTTACTCGTTTTAGAGTGGATTAAATTTTTTTTGTTAATAAATCAAATATTTATCATTTGTTATAGTATNGAGTGGATTAAATTTTTTTTGTTAATAAATCAAATATTTATCATTTGTTATAATGTTTTTAAGTTAAATTATAAATTTTATTGCTATAAAGATATTATCTAGTTTTCAATGAAGTCCAATGTATAATATAATTTTTAAAAAAATGTTGTAAGAGTATAAGAGCCATTTTAAATTAATGGTTATCATTTTATTAAATTAAATATTATCTTAGAAGAAATTTTATTTAAAAATGAAGTTGATAAGTGGCCATTTTTTTATTCAGTAGTTCAGTGATTTTATGATAATTAACATTTATGCGTGTACATTTGTTTTTTATACTGTAACTGTTCATATTGTCTATATGATGTTAAATGAATATCTTGATTTTTACACAACATTGTAATTTAAATTATTGTGATATAAAATTTTTTCTTATATTTTTCTAAAAAAATCTGCTCAAATCATTTTTAAGTGTTAAAACTACTTGTAAATGCTTTTAAAAGTATCTGTTCATTTGTTACAAAGTATAGTTTCAAATTTTCAAGTAATAATAATCTTTGAATTTTTAGTACAATTTTTTTTGTATTTCATTTTTTAATATCTTTGTAAAAGTTTATA